CGAGGCGGCTGCCCTGCCATAGACGGCCATGTTCCTCTGTCTAGTGCAGAGATCATGGATGTTGGAGGCATCCCCCCCTAAACCTGAGTATGGCCTGTGATCTCCACACTGGACCAGGAAGGCACCCACCTGCTCTGGGCCCTGGCAGGCTCCTAAGAGCTGATAGACTGGTCCTGGGGAGCGGTGGAGGTCTGGCTGCCAGTGGCTTGCTGTCTCATGTTTTGGGGCCACTGGGTCAGGGGTAGTGACTGCTGGCTCTGGGCTGGCAGGCTTGGAGCTAGCACAGGCACTGTGGCCAGAGTAAACTCCTTTAAGGGCTCCGGGGAGGGAGGAGAGAGAGCAGAGTTCTTGGTTGAGGCTGGAGTGGCCACCTGGGCACCCTGGGAAGGCTGGATGCTCTGTATTTCAACAGAAGGGTCTACACAGCACTTATTTCGAAATAGCTATTTCAAATTTGGCGTTATTCCTTGTGGAATGAGGTTTACCAAATCTGAAATAAGCACTCCGCTATTTCGAATTTATTTCGAAATAGCGGTTTGGCTGTGTAGACACTAGTAAAGTTATTTTGAAATAATGGCTGGTATTTCAAAATAACTTTGCTGTGTAGACATACCCCAAGTGAGCAGGGCAATAATTCAACATTTTGCTGCATAGGACTGTGACTCTTGGAAATGTGGATTACATTCTGACTGGCTTTGCTGATTTGGGTTTTCCAAACAGTGGTGGGGCAATCAATGGCACACATATTCCCATTATAGCACCACTCCACCTTGCCACAGAGTACATGGATTGAAAGGGGTACTTTTCAATGGTGCTTCAGGCATTTGTGGATCACCATGTGTATTTCACAGATATAAATGCTGGATGGTCTGGAAAGCTGCATGATGCATGCATCTTCAGGAACAGGAAACTGCAGGCTGGGACTTTATTTCCAGGGCAGAAAATTATAGTTGGGGATGCAGAAATGCTTGTTCTGATCCTAGGTAACCCAGTTCACCCCTTATAGCCCTGGCTCATGAAGCCTTACACCTGAACAGCATTAAAGAGGAGTAGAACAATAAGCCAATACCATATGATTGTTAAATGTGCCTTTGGCAGATTGAAAGCAAGACAGAGATGTTTGTCTGGTAGGCTGGAGCTTTTGGAGGTGGTGGCCACATGAAGTTGCTTACATAATTTGTGTCAGAGTAAGGGTGAAATGTCTGTCTATGGGTGGAGCACTGAGGCACAGAGCCTGGGCACATAGCTTAAACAGACAGTCACTCATGCTGTCAGAAGGACCCATAGGCTGGCCATCAATATCAGGGAGGCCCTGAGGATCCATTTTGACAACGAGAGGTGCTGACATTTCTGTGTGTTGGGATTGCTTCCCTGCCTCATCACAGTGCTCATCCTGAGTGATGCATTTCCATGAAACCAAGAGATATTACAGGCTTCCACAGGGGCCAGAGCAATTGGTGTGGATTGTGTCAAAATAAACTCATGGAAACCTGCATCACATTTCTCTTTATTGATGTCTTTCAGTCACAGTGAATGCTTGATAATAAGGGATAGCAAGAGTTATTAGAAACCTCACAATTGTGTTTATTAGAAACCTCACAATTAGAAACCTCACAGTTGACCAACTGTCAAAGTCACAGCTGCTGTGATGGGGAGTGCAGTGTGCTGGGGGAAAAAAACATTACCTGACTGTGAAAATGAGTGTGGGAGCATAGAGGGAGGGTTGCTGGATAAAGAATTCTGCATGTGCAGCCAGGGAGGCTGATGTGTGAACACAGAAGGAGGGTTACTGTGAAAAGAATTCTACATGTGCTGACAGGAAGGTCTTTGGTTTTGTTCACTCTGCATCCTGATAAGACACTTCACCATCTCAGTTTGATCTTCCATGAGCTCTTTAGCATGCACTCAGTGGCATCTGTTCTGAGTTATCTCCCTAGCACTCCTTTCCTCCCTTTTTTCTGTGTGAAGTCATGAATGCTGCAAAACTTCCTCTCTTGTCTTCCAAGCTTCTTAACTTAGTTTACGGAGTTTGTCTGCAAGGGAGCATGCCTGACTTCTCAAGGTCTGGTCTGGAAAAGTAACCATTAGAAATAGTGTGACTGTACTTTTTCTGATAAAGATTGTAACATTTCACTAATATGCACATCTCTGAACAAAACTGGTGATTTTTCTTGTCACCCTAGAAGCAAACACAGATCTCTCCAGACACTCTGATCATGGTGAATTGTAATGGTGGGGGGAAGAGGGGAAAGAGGGATTGGTCATGAGGCCCCAAGAAAGTACAGTCCATGCTTGTGCAGCAGGTGTACATGGAAACAATTTGTAATAATCCTACACTTGTCCAAAGGCTGCCATTACTTTAGCTGACATAAACAGGCTGAAGGTTAACAGGCAAACCCAGGCTCTGGTTCTGAATGCAAGCAGGGGGCGCCCCTTTATATATGCAGCCAAAATCTGTGCTGCCTTGGTTCCAGCAGCATAGTTTGAGGAATGGTTTGGGAGAGTGTCATACCACGGCGGTGGGGAAATGGCAGCCCTGCCATGGAATCTCTATGAGAAAGTACATCGGGCACAGCTTCGAAACATCTCCCAGCAAGATTCTGCTGATCTCTCTGTGTACATCAATGCTATATTTTGACATAACACAGACCCAGGGAGGGCTTAGCCACCTCACAAAAATACAACCTCTGATCTCCTCACCCCATTGTCTGCCCCCACAAGAGCAACTTTCCATACCAATGCCCATCCTACCCCCACCCTGCTGCAATACAAAGCAACTTACCACCACACGCCACCACCATCCCCTTCCCCTGGCTGCACTAAAGCAACTTACTGCCCTACATAGCCGATGCCCTCTCGCCTGCAATAGAGCAACTTACTCTGTGACTCTTCCCTTGCTTCATGACCTTCCATCTCTTCTCTTGTGTCATGCTCCATATTCAGATGCTGAGATGCCTCGGGACTAGAGAACAATTCCTCGATCCCTGGTACACAGGTTGGCCCTTCAGTGAGAGCCCCTCCTCCTTGTCTGCTTCCACCTCTTCATCAAGAATTTTTGGCTTCAGGTTAAGTCCTGTTCCTGACTCTGTGCTATGGGAAGCATTCACAATCTCCTTGGCTTTGGACATGGGGTCCCAGAATTGTATTCAATTCTTTACAAAAAAATCATATTTTGAGTGTAGCACCAGCCCTGGCTGCTTGCCTCCTTTGCCCTCTGCTAAACCTGCAGGAGTTCTTTTATTTTGGCTATGCATTGTAGGGTGTCTTGATCATATCCCTTCACACAAAGGGCTCAAGAAAAGTCACCATACATGTCCCAGTTCCTATGAGTCACTTGCATCTGTGATTGCACCGATTCTTCACCAGATATACTAATAAGATCCAAAAAGCTTTGGGGTGCTCCAGGCAGAAGAGCATCTTGAGTGATACCCACCCGTTTCCCAGAGAAGATGCCATGTGGACCAATACGCAATGAGCCAGACACCAGGAAATGGATTTTCAAGTTCCCAGGGTTTGCTGATGGGAGGGGCACATCTGTTCACCTGCTCATGTAACTGCAGAGCAGCGTAATTCAAAGCGCTGGCCAGAGTGGCTAATTTGGCATTGTGGGAAACATAATGGAGTTCAATAGACTTGAAAAAACCCTAGGCTAGGTCTACACTTGCACATCTTGCGCAAGGGTTCTTGTGCAAGAAAATTTCCACACTTCCATGTGTGAGCTGTACTTTTGTGCAAGAGCACCCATGGCAGTGTGGATGCTCTCTTGCGCAAGAAAGCTCTGATAGCCATTTTAGCCACAGGGCTTTCTTGCGCAAGAAATCCTTGCCAAGCATCCACACCGCCCTCTTGTGCAACAGCCCCTGTGCAAGAGGGCTTACACCTGTTAAAAAAGAGCGTAGCTCTTGTGCAACAAGCCCTCTCTTACCACATCATACTGTAAGTTTTCTTGCGCAAGAGCAGGCAGGCAGTGTGGACGCTCTGCGGATTCTTGCGCAAGAACGGCCATACTTGCGCAAGAAGCCGCGAGTGTAGACATAGCTCTACTGTAGTACACATAACATGACTGTCAACAGTAAAGGGAGGAGAAAAGATAAAAGTCCCTTGTGGAGGTAGAAGTTTTTTGTCACCAAAACTTGGCATTTGTCATGATTTTTGTCACATTGCAATATGAATGCTCTCTGGATTTTTATCACTAAAAAGTTTTTTTTGGCAACACAACTTGCCAGTGTAGATAAGCACTACATTTTCTTTTATTTTGTGCATAGTCTGTGTTTACTTTTCTCAGCTATAAACTTCTGATTGTGTCTTGTATAAATAACTCTCATTATCTAACATACTTGTAATTACCAGCATTTCAACAATCTGCTACTGACATTAAACGTATCATTAGTAATGCTAACTTCCATATTAGTGATCCTTTTGTAATAGCATTGGGACTGACACTGGCAAGAACAGGAACTAATTCACCATAAATTATTCTTAGGACATTTTTTGTTCTCTTTTGGGCCTGAACCAACCCCCCAGATCTAAGTAATCCATATCTTTTGGTTGTAGAAATGTAGCTTGAAAATTTGTACTCAAATCTAAAACACAATGTTGTAGCAAACCTTAATCTATAACAGAGCAAAACATATATCATGAGACTTTGCTAAAAAAAAAATTTCCTTTCTGCCACTGACATGCTATCTCTATGAGGAAATAGACTAGAGATACAAGTCTTTATTTTTAAAAAAGACTCCAGAAATCATTTCATGTCCTACTCTATTATCCCTTCAATCTGGTAGGAATATTCAACCTTGCCTTCAAGTCTATTCTTCCATTTTTGAAACAGATATGGCACTTTCATGGATATTAGAGGGAATGCCAAAATTGTGCTTTCAATAAATCCTCAGTTGCAATCTTAATTATAGGACAATATAACATCTCAGTGTCACATATGAATATTATATAAATATTTAAAAAAGACCCCAATATTCACACTTACCCACAAATCATGTTCGGCATAATCAAACAGCAGCCAAACCTTTCTATCACTGTGAGAAAGAAAAACCTTCTGTAATGCAATCACATTGGGATGCTTCAATTCTCGTAAAAGCTGTAAGTAAAGAAACAAAAAAGTCAATATTTCTGTAGCTACGAAAGACACGACTAAAGTTTGGAAAGCAAAGTAATTACTGAGAAAGGTCATTGTGTTACCAAAATTAGAGATGTAGCTAACTAAGACCTGCCATAGTCACGCAAGGTACTTACAACAAAGTAAGTTTGGTGCCATAAACAATATATCCCAAGCAATTCAGTACATTATTGCTATAACTTCAGAAAGGGTCAGATTGCATCTGGCTGGGACACAGATGTAGAATGGTGTATAGTAAAGAAGATCATAAAGAGCTTTTCATCACCTTCTATTGCCTACTGAAGGGTCAAACAGAATTAGAGTGAAAGGGAAACTACATTTCTACTTCTATTGGAAAAAACACACACAAAACCCTGGCTAACCTCACAGACCCACTGACAGCAGTTCTGGACTCCAGGGCAGAAATCAATGGCCTCTCTATCTCACTCCATGTACCAGGGCCATAGCACCCCCTACCCAGCCTGCCAAAGAGCCCTAACCGGCCCAGCTCTGTCCTTTACTTGCTGGGTCAAGCCCCAGAATAGCCATACCAAGCCTCCCCTCCCATCCCCGGTCCCAACCTGCCTGCTCTTGGGAAAGCCACAGCAGCACCTCTTGATTCAAAGATGCTTTTGATATGTCCCATGCTGGTTCTGAGGCCAAGAAATCCAACCCCAGAACTGCATGGGAAATGTCAAAATTGTCTGAATCAAAAGATATTTTTGGCAAAGCTACTGCAGCTGTGGGCCCTTTTATATTGCTGGGCTCCTAGGCAATTCTCTCCCTCACCCTGGTCAACAGACCTGAAGCCTAAAGGTGTACAAGAGAGAACACACCATCAGCATATGTAAAGCAGCTTGGGAAGCATATTGCACAGTAGGGATGTGAATGATTAGTTGACTATCCCATAAGCAGAGGCTTATTGGATAGTCGACAGGCTAGTCAACTAGTTGCTTCCCCCCTTGCTGCCTCTATTAGAAAGAGGCATTGGGGATAGGGGAGAGGAGAGGCTACTTCAAAATGGCAGCACCGCATGGAGCCTGGGATCAGCTGGGGACACCCCAGCTGACTCTGGGCTCTGTGTGGCACTATCACTTTGAAAAGCCACGTGAAGCCTGACACTGGGCTTCCCACAGTATTTCAAAGCAGCAGCGCTGCACGGAGCCCAGGGTCAGCAGCCACGTCCCCAGCTGATTCCAGGCTCCATGAGAGGCACCCACTCTGAAATTCCGCAAGGAGCCTGACACCAGGCTCCCAGTGGTGTTTCAAAGCAGCAGCACTGCACGGAGCTCGGGGTCAGCAAGGGAGTCCCCAGCTGGCCCAGACTCAATACGGCGCTTTTGCCTTTGAAGTGTTGCAACATCTCTAGGGCGCCACACTGAGTAATCGAATAGTTGATGCAAAATGCATTGACTATTTGAGTACTCAATTACTTGCAATTTAACATTCCTATTGCACAGTGCCTCATAGTGTTCCCTCTGGGATGGCACAACTGTTTATATGACACAATTGAGCCTGAAGGATTATAGCCTGCTGTGTGTTTAAGGCAGCAGTTTTTCACCATTGATACATTTCTTATTAGTACACATTTCTATTAATACGCATACACAAAAACCTATGTAGGAACGACATTAATGTTGCACAGTCGAACATTCAAAAGTTAAAACAACAAGGAGTCCAATGGTATCTTAAAGACTAACAATTTTATAATGGCATAAGCTTTTTCCAATTCACTTAGCCAGAAGAAAAAGAAGCAGATAGAGATACAGAGAACAGTTTTACATCAGAGCTAATTGAGTCAGGGTGGATGTGGATTATTCTGCCCATTCCCCACAAGATTTACCCTCTTGGTCACAACTAGTGTTCCCTGTAAGCTGTGCACTTCTGTGCCCACTCAGGAAAGATTCCAATATCACATGCTGATTAACAGAGTCCTCACAGCTAGGTTTATTTTTCTTCTGGTGATTCACATTCACACATGCCTTGGTACACGTACAATTTATTTTGCACATAGATGGGGAAAAAAATCCTCTCATGGATGAAAAAGATTATAGGGAACACTGGTCACAACCACCCCAGATTGTCCACGACCCCATCTTCTTTCTAACTACTGACTACTTTCCCAGTCTCCTCTCTTAACCAGTCCCAATCTCCATTCCTCAGGCATCTCATCCCAGTCCTCGACAACCCTACTTTCTCCCTCTAGACTCACTGTCCCAGTCTTCCTCCTACTCCGCACTTCCAGTCTGTTTCCTTGTTCAGAGATTCGCGGTCCCCTCCCCACCCACTACCAACTCTTTGTTCCCTATCTCCTTGCCCAGCCAGTACTATACCCCTACTCCTGGCTCTTTGTGCCATTGGTATATGCGCTCAGCATCCCATGTCCGTCTCCCCACTAGCTCAGAGTCTCAGTTTCCTGGAATAGGATTGTTGTCCCATCAGATTCACACATTAACTAGCTCCTTGACCAGTCAGTCTCAATTCTCCCCTCAGCTCCTTGTCCAATCTGAGTTCTTTCCCATTCCCACATCCTGGCCCTTCATCAGATCTCTTGTCCCTTCCCCTCAATGCCTATTCCTCACCCTACTGAATCCCACTCAAAAAATCAATCTGAGGCAGAGACAAGTTATGAAAATCATCACCCAAACTATTAAAGGATGGCAAATTTACAAGCAACTAAAAACAGCATCTTTAATGTTAAGTGTTGGTAAATCTAAATACAGGCAGTCCCCGGGTTACATGGATCCGACTTACATCAGATCCCTACTTACAAACGGGGTGAGGCAACCCCGCACTAGCTGCTTCCCCCCAGTAGACTAGGGAGACGCAAAGCTAGCACCCCTCCCAGCAGACCAGCTGGGAGCGGCTTTTCTCAGCAGACACCTCAGCTTGAGAATAAAGGACTGAGGGAAGTGAAGTGTGGGAGAATAAAACTGAGCTCTGGAGAAATGTTTGGCTAGAGTTTCCCCTACAATATGTACCAGTTCCGACTTACATACAAATTCAACTTAAGAACAAACCTACAGTCCCTATCTTGTACGTAACCCGGGGACTGCCTATAATGAACCAGAGCAACCAGTCAGGCCTATAATGGTTGCATCCAAAGGCTGCACCTGAGATTTGAGCTGCATTGTGTTGAGTGCTATACAAATAGGTAAGATACAACCCTGGTCACAGAATGTTTACCAGCTAAAATATGCAAAACTTGGTAGGGACCGGGGTTGCAACATACAAACAAATGAATCTGGTGAAGAATTCAAACAGTTTTGTTTATAACATGGTTTGTGGTTTCCTTTAAATTAGATGTAAAGGGAGAGTAAAGAATGGCAGGAATGGGGAAGTTAATAACAGTAAGCAAGCAGGAAAAGTTCTGCAGATTGTAATCCCTTAATGGCAAGTAGTGTCTTACCCATGTTTGTATTGGGACCTTTGTGTGCTATTCTAATATTTAACAATATATAATAAGAGGGATAATCACTAAATTAAATTCTTCCATTAGACTTTTGCAATTTATGGTCAAACATCCATCCACACCTAAAGGACAAAAGCCTACATGCTGGGCAGCAGAATAGTAACATTATCTACTCTCCACTTACTTACTCCAAATCTCTGTTTTGTGATCAAGAGAGAAACCCCTATGTAGCAGGCATAAGAGTCGGGCTCTGGGTAAGCTTACTTGAGAATAGGATTGATCATTTCTCTCTATGTAAGTTTTTCCTGACTGACAGAATCACACCATCATGCTGCTTTCATGCTCTCTGGCCGTGAAAACTCCACCTCCTACGCCAGGGATCAGCAACCTATGGATCCCCCAGCCAAATATGGTTCTTTTTCAGCTCCAGCTTAGCTCCCATTGTTCCACCCCAAAACTGGGAACCTGAGCTGACACTCTGGACTCACCCCCCACTGTGATGTTGAAGCGCCAGTGCTGGCTTCCTGTGGGTGTGCGGGAAGAAAGCCCCGGGGCTCCCCGGCAGATCCAGCTTGTAGGGAAGAAGCGGCTGGACGCACAGCTGCTTCCCTTTCTCCTCCTCCCGCTGGGGGAACAGCAGCACAGAGTCCAGTTTTCTGGAAGCTTTTCCCACTGCTCAGCAGGGTGGTGAGTGAGGGGCTTGAGGATGCCAGGTCTTGGAAGGGCAGTGAGTGAGGGGGTGAGGATGAGGGGTTTCAGCCTTGCCCACCCCCCCGCTGGAGCGCCAGCGTGGGATCACAGCAGAGCCCCACCCCCTTGCCAAGATCCTGCACTCCCCGCCCCACTCACTGACCACCCTGCCGAGACCCTGCACCTTCAGGCCCCTCACACACCACCCTGACGAGACCCCACACTTCCAGCCCCCTCACCTCTTCCACTGAGACTCTGTACTCCCAGCCTGCTCCTGCACCCTCCCCCTGGCCAGACACCTAGCCCCAAAGAGAGGGAGGTTAATGAGCATAGTGAACAGAGGACAGAGTCCTCTAGTTTCTATTTATCTGTAAATCAACACAACCTTCATGGCCACTGCAGCTCCTAGGCTAGAATCCATCTTAGTTTCTGTTTCTCTCCTCTTATGTAAGAGTGGTAACTGGGTCTCTTGGTAGCAGAAGCCCTCACGATTGAGCCTGTCCCCAAAGTCTCTGGCAGCTATTGCTTGCTCATTCCTCACCAAATCAAAAGTAATTGTCTGTTAAAATATTTTTCATGCTATTTAAATCATTTTAAAAAATCCCAAATACAAATTCAGTTGGTAATTACATTTCAAAGAGAGCAGAAAAGAAGGAACCAGATGGCTAAGAAGATTGATAGTGTACTACAGTGCATTTCCTGTAAGCCACTGCTTCATTTCCAGGCGAGATCTATAGCAAACACAATCATTACTAGTTTCAGCAGAGAGCTTGAACAGACAAATATTAAGGCACGTTTTCAAGGCAAAGTGGGGGAAGACTTTATGATATACTTCAAATCTTTTTTTAAAAATAGTGCATATTTATCTTAACAGAGACTA